ATATCTCAGCAACAAAGCTGATTGCGCACGAACCAAGTTGGGATTCTTCATAGTCCATGAGGATCTACATTTTAAAAATAGTCCCACTCAAAAAGATTTTTAGCACCTCAGGCGGTTCCCTCGTAAGATCTGAGTAAGATTGGAGTAAGTTTTCCACTAGGGGATGAGAGTAGGTCTAACGAGGTAACATATGCAATTTACTTGAACAGCCCTAAATTTTCATTGTCAGCTCAAAGCTAGAGAAATAAGAACAAATACATTTAAGGCTGTTCTTGTAAATTCTATAACTTTACAAAGAAAGGTCATGTAGAGCTGAGAGATGTCTCATTTTAATCAGAAATGTGCGGGCTACATTTATGTCTCATTAAGAGAGGTTTTGGTTATCTTTTAGAGTTTATGAAAAACTGGTTTCCCAGAAAAACCGGTCTCTGGAGGCTCAACAGCCCGTTTCATGTTGATATTCGAAATCAGAACCATCGATTAGCTATGATCCACTACGTTTGTTGAAAAAAGCGACACGTGTAACAGAACGCAAAAGGTAGAATAAATTTATTCATGGACTTGTTTCGAGTAAAAAAAGGCAAAGATGTTTATTCACAAAAGACCTTTATTTTGAATGTTTTTTTCTCAACATTAAAAGATATACATTTTCGGGAGGAAAAGGATATTTGGAAATTTAGTAAAATAAATTTATTTTACTTTTTGCGTTCTGTTACACGTTGTTTTATCTTTACTACACTAAGTTTAAACTTGTTTTGTTTATTGTATGTACATTTTGACTGATGATGTGAAAAGTGTTTCACGAAACGTTTCTAATAAAAAAATGCTTAAATCGGTGTCTCCAGCTTTTTCTATCTGGTTTTTTCTTGTACTTTTCGTTCAGATAAGAAACGAAAAGTCGGCATAATATCGTGGTTAGAGACATTTTTTTAGTCACTCACTTATGAGAATACAGCGCTTCACAATTAGTTTTGAAACATTATCTTCTGAATCTATTGCCGACTTTGTCTAACATAATGACGATTTCGAAGCTGTTTCCCAAGATAAAAGAATTTTCGCGTTTTCTTTACTGATGATTATTTCTCCGAGTTGTGAGCAAAGAATCTCACATTACCTACAGCTATTTTACTTCAGCAAGATGTTAGACGAGAAGGGAAGAAATTATGACTTTATGATAACTAATGGATTTTATCGTCTTGTCTACTGAGATTTTAAGATATGAATGCATAGATTAGCTGGTGCAAAAGAGAGAGTAGCATTCATTTCATTCCTTGGTTTTGCTGCTAAATTCATTGTCTTGTATTTGCTCAAATGATATTGTTTCAACATTATTTTTGTAATTTGAAAAGTATGTTTTTGCTAGATTCTGGAGTATCTTAGACAATGGGTGGTCCGGCTATAATCGATGGTAAATATCATTTGTATACGGATAATTTTCTTCCGTGTAAATTTATGGTAAACAACGTTGCGTATTGTAGTTCAGAAAATTATTTTCAATGTGCAAAAGCTACTAATGCACACGATCATGAGATTGTCAGAAGATCGGGTTCAGGTATGGATTGTTGGCTGGCTGGTGCACAAATCGATCTTCGCCCAGATTGGGAACAAGTTAAAGTAAGAGAAATGTATGTGGGAAACAAGGCAAAATTTGAACAAAATTTCGATTTTGGAAAACAATTGGTTGCCACTAAGGGTCCAATTGTGTTTGGTGGATCGACGTCCTTTTGGAACAAATGGAACGGATTAATTTTAGACAGAGTTAGAGCTGAGTTGAGACAAGATCAACAAATAGTAGAAAAAATTAAACAGTTGATGGACAAATATGAGCAAACCAATGTTAATAAAAACATCCACTTCACGTCACTAATTGCAGCATCACGTCTACAACTATTCTTTAAATTTATATCACCATTTTTAAGAAGATTATAATACTCCTTTGATTAAGATGTAATACATTCCTGCTTACTTCTTTTGTTACTATTTTAGATCTTTGAAGTTACATAATTTTCGAGAAAAATAAAGTTTACCAAAAAATAGAAATCCATAGAAAAACGAATTCCCTTATCAAATAATCTTAAAGTGAAGTGTCTTTGTATTTCTCAAGAAATGATTTCAAAATTATATATTTTAGGAAACGAGTGACAAGTTTCTAACACTGCTCACTCGACAAAAACAGTTAAAGACAACATAATCATAAAAACATTTTTTCGTGAATGGTTAAAAGTTCCTCCTCATGCTGAGAAGCTGAATCCGTTCTTTTTCGATCCAACTAATTGCAAAGTAAAATTAGTATCCTTTACTAAATCTATAGCGCAAACTCACTATTCAACTCCAGTGTCAATTGCAGTTACACCCGTAGAAGAGTTCTTGTACGAAAATAGTCTGCTAGTTCATATCTCTCCAACTAAACCGATTGAATTCAAGAATAAATGTTGTATGCGAACACCTCAACTAAATCATCCACATTACAAACATCTACAATTTACGATAAACAACACACAATTCGTGCAGAATAATGTGATCGCTCAATTATCAAATTGTCCACAACGAATGAAACCTGCGCAACATGTGAAATTCCGTTCATTTCGTTCAGGTCACCGTTTACAATGGCAGAATCAGAATCTTCTATCCGTTTTAGAAATGGAATCCTTAGCCATCGATGAAGAAAATGTCGTAATATTGATTGCACGGTTACTATGGCAATATGGTCCGGTTACAATACGTTGGTTTGTTCATGGTGTCCAGAATCCCATCAACAATTATTAGAAGATCATTTTGTCGATCAATTGAACTTGAGATCGAATCGTCGTGTAGATGATTGTGAATTTAATTGGCAAAATGCATTGCTTTTAGTAGCCATAATAACAATGAGAATATTAGCCATTTGTAATTCGACGCGAAAAAGTCAACTTGCCGTTCTGGCTTTGTGGTGCGTCAAGTTGGTGAAAACGGATTAAACTCATTTCCGAAAGTATTCAAGCTATATCCACAACCAATTTTGATCAAGTGGGAATTCTGCGTGACAAAATAGCAATTATTAGTCTTGCGTATCTATTCACATTTTCAGCTGATTCAGCTCGCGCTAGCTCCATATTGTCAGCGAATGAACAAAGCAGTCACAAGCATTCACGATGAGATGCCTCTGCCAAATTGAAAAAACATCTCTATGAGACTTGTGTAAGACCTGTCTTTGAGTATGGAGCAATTGTCTATGATAGCTCATATTCTACCCATTTAGAATCCTTAAATTCAGTTCAACGTCTTGCTGCTCGTATCGTAAGCGGCGACTTTGTCTCTTCTTCTTCAGTAGTCTCAGAAAAATTGCCCACTCGAATGCTTGACGCGACGGAGAAAAATTGCCCGCCTGAAATATATCTGGAAAACGTTGATGAGATGTACGCCTCAAGCCCGTTTTTCCTTTATTTCCTTTTCAACAACACGGCATTCTCCTCGCAAACACTTATTTCAAATTGAAGTATCTAATTTTTCTACATCGGTCATGAGTCATGGTTTCTTAATTCGGGCAATAAAAGACTGGAACAGCTTAGCGCCCGATGTTGTGACACTTTCTTCTTTCAATCTATTTGTGTTAAAAATACAACAGTTCCTCTAAGAACTAGTCATTTGTAATTTGTAATTTTATTTTTATTTTTGTGTTTATTTGTGTGCCATAGGATAGACGTCTATAAGCTTCCAGCTTTTGTCTATGCCCTTTCTCTTTGCCACCTAGAATAAATAAATAAATAAATAAATAAAATACGATAATATTATTCTGAACAAGAATCAAACGAATATGAGTGTTTTCATGAGAGATATGATGCGAGTGTGTGAGTGTGTGATAGTAAGGATGCAGCCATCATTAACCAAATTCATTGAAAAAACATCATATCAAAGTTTCATTGAATTTTCTACCTGGGCAATGATCCGAAGCAAAGGTACGATGCCTGCAAAATGGAAGAAGCGAAAGACAGATTTGTATGATGGTTGGTACGATGGTCAATATGTAGCAGCGGTGATATCAATTGATTGCATCAGTGGAACATTTATGGTATGACCATTGAATTTGTACCGGAAAAAATTACTTTAGATTCATTATTTGTTCGTGTATACCATCACATCTTTGAAGTACAAGCGACTAAGTCACATAATACTTACATACGAAACATGCGTATCATGGCAATGGAAGTGTCCAATATGAACTCCATTTCGATCATCGAACTCAGTGATTGACAATTTATGAACAGCACATTGAGACAAACGAGAAGTTTGAACTGATCTCTCATAGTTACTTTGAGAAGGAAACCAGATGCGTTCATCTATCACAGTCATTGGAGGAATACAAAAACGCAACAAGGCGTATTTCGACCTGTTCATTTCAAAGATTTTTTAGACAACAAACCTTACGTATTAACAATGGAAACAGGGTTTATTAGCACTACTGAGACCATTCAAGCACAGATTCTAGTTCACTGATCATCAGAATTCTTCAAAAATTTGTTTAGGTAATACTTTATTCGTCACGACGATGAACCCTATGCCTACATGTTGAGAGAGGATGCTTCAAACATTATTCAGCAATTTCAATCCCCGCAACCAAATACCGTTGTTCACATCCATTTATCTCGTTTAGGAATTGCCTTCACATACGATGCTCAGCAAAATATCGTTGCATCTCATGAATATTCTGGCATGTAATAACAATGAACTGGGTTCGAGTCCCAGTTGGAGCATACATTTCTTTTCATGTGTTTGTGTAGCAGATTAAAACAAAGCCGTTTTAAAACATTCATGTCTAGTTTGACCTTATTTCTGCAGTAGTAAAAGAGCAAGTGCATCTGATTAGATCAAGGCATTTGATCTATTTAGATCAAAAGGGACTCCCTCTGTTGAGTGGACCGAAGTAAAAGTCATTTGATGATTCTCTTAGCGGGATGAAATTGTAATAATGGTAGCTCTACTCACCCCTTACTCTCACACGCTCATCAAATAGAAAACACACATGTCCGATGTCCTTTGACCCATAACATTGCTAAATATTATATTATACAGTACACTAATATTATAAAGCCAAATTATCATCTACTCCTTGTTATTCCGGTTTGTTCTGGCGAATCTGGCGAAAGAGAAACTTCCTGTAAACTGGTACTTTGATATTTAACTGCTCTATTTTAGCCGAACCGAATTGACTTTGAACATTTTCTAAAAACGGACGGAGTTCGATGTTTGATCGCCAAGATTTTAATAATCTGTTGATCTCAAACGTGTTAATGTCCCTCTCCAGGAAACTATGATTTTGGTAGATAGAATTTTTGGCGGAACAATCTTCGACTTCTGCTAGAGCTTTGGCCTGATTAGAGCGAGCAAGTTTCCGCGGAAATCGGATGCGTTCCGGTGGGACTGAAATTTCCTCGATATTTCATATTGAATAAATGAAGGATATGAGATCCCAATGGTATGGTTGATACTTTCAATACGGTGTTCAGCATTTACAAATAAAATAGTTTGATGGAACGTTTAGCAGAGATGTAATAAATAAAATCTAACAGCATTTCAAATCGTTCGATTTCGATCCAACAATTGTCAACTTTTCCTGTTTTAAGCTGATCAGCGGATTTCAATACGCCAATGCAAACATATTTTAGGTGATATTCATCAGTTATCCATTGGAACAAAGGAAAACAATTTAGATTTGAGCTACCTTTCAGAGCTACATTTCCACTGCGATACAGAAATCAGAAGGAACTAAAAAAATAGACCTTGTCTCATTGCCACCTCTATTCATATTCGATTAAAGCGTTTTATTTATGATGATGATAATAGACCCTATAAAATTCAATCATTCATCAAAAATATCCAATAGAAAATTTTAATTTAAAAGATTATGTTCAGAACGGTCAACAGTCGACAAAATACAATTTAATTGCCGTTTCAAATCATTTAGGATCAATACACACTATAGAACATACGTAAAAAGTTTTAAAAATCATCATCAGTATCATTTTGATGATTCAAGAGTTTCTCATGTGACCGGTGATATTCAACAACAAAATATTAATCAAAATGCTTATGTACTCATTTATTTGAAAGATACATTAGATTCTTAAATATTCTAAACATTATTGATTAAGGGTTATTCGTCCTGTCGGATCTCTATAAAGCACGAGTCTTGTAGTAACAGAATACAACATGGCTTTTGTGTTTCTATGTGACAAAAGGTTTTATTGCGGAGATACATAGTGAAAAGTCGAGGGTTATCTTGATTAATAAAGGATCCATGTGAAATAAACTTTGATGTTTGGACGAATTAGAGAAAAATTCGATAGCTGTAGCATCAGAAGCTTTTGATGTATGCGGAAAAATCGATAAGAGATCTCGTTTAGGTGCCGTTTTGATTTTGAAATTGTGACCATTAGGTTCCTTCTATTTAAATTGTTCCTCGCTCGCAAAGCCGTAGCCTGATTGACGTGTAAGAGCCCTATGTGTAGCTATTTCTAGAACTCAAAAGTGAGTAAAGAATTGTTTTTCATCCTCACTCCATGAGATAAGAAATGATAACAGTTATATTTCTCTTTTGGCCAAAAACGTCGGGGCTATACCCGCGATAGGTCAAGTCATCGTTTATATAGTCTCGATGTTTTCCGCGAAAAGAGAAATATAACTGTTATCATGTCTTATCTCATGGAGTCTTCAGATGAAGCAAAACAATGATAAAACTTCGTTGACTTGCAGTATAAAAAGGTGTGTTGTCGCACGCTTACTGTACCTTTGATCGTGGCATTTTTATCACTATGCGCTATTAGTGTTCTTCTTGTTCTTGTTACGGAGAGCCGGAATTTAGTAAAGGAGATCGAAATCCAGTCACATAGCAATGGAACAAGAAACGTTCGGTCCCAAAGGTGCACAAAAGGCTGCGTAGTTGATTTGAATTAAGACGACCCTTTGACATGGCCTGATAAGTGCGAAGAACTTACTACAGGAAATGACTGCGCATTGCATGTTTCTTGGAATCCCGTGTTTAAAATGCTGGTAATTCAATTGGACACAAACGACGTTTTTGCTGATCTCACGAATTTAAGCTTCAGTTTACTACTAGAGTTTATGGCGCGATCGTCAAGGTATACCATAGGATTAATGGAACCGGGCCCAGGATTTCCTTGTAGCGAAATAGGGTAACACAGCACTATCAAAAACTGAGGATTTATTCTATAAGACAACTGAATCGAATGATTTTTTCATTTAAATGCCGATTATGCAACCCACAGATTCCAGTAGAATCATGATTGTGTTCAATTTCGAAGTTTACATCGATTTATGGACGCTGGAAAGGATAATAATGAAAATACATTTGTCCAATGGGCAACAACAGAAACAATTCCTCAAAGCAACGCTAGAGTTCATATGGCTGTTTGATAGAAAACCGCTAACGGATGGTAAACCAATGGAAATCATCATACATGATTTCAAATATGCAAAAAAAGAATGTAATTGTTAAGAGGGGGTAACAACCTCTGCCTTCTTCATAATTTTCTGGCCTGCATCAAGCTGTACATATCCTGTATATATCCTAAGAGCCCGATTTTTGACCAAAGACACGCTGTTCAAAGCGTTTTTTGAAAAATTCTAAAAGGCTTATTAGCTTATGAAAAAGATTACTAGGCAAGGGAGATACCAGAAAGCTCCTTGCATATGTAACCTGAGAAACTTGAGGGCAACGAAGTTAAGTCGGACAGAGTCCACTTATGTGTTAAGATCATCATCGAAGAATTATTCGCTTTCATGAAGGAGAAAAACGCTGCCCGCATTAACCTATTGATCCTTTTAGGCGCGTACGTTGCTGCAACTAGAACTTTAAGGCTTGAAGCAGCACTGCAGCTTACATCATAATCTTGGTCCTTCAGTGCTAGCAGTAGTCCACTGAACACCTCCAGCGTGTCTGCCTTGTCACGTAATCTTCCAAGAGCCGAAGCGACATTCGCTCGACATATACATACAGTGTTATCGTGATAAAAGACATGGCGAGATAAGATCACTCATTGTGATGAATCGATTGATGTGTTGTATCACAATACTGTATTTTATCGCGATCAGTGTAACGCCGCGATAGATTGTACTTTTCCATCAAAAACATCCTCATGTGTGAAATTCAAGGAGCACATTCATGCGTGTCTTGGGTAGTTCCTTCGGAACTGGCCCACATTTTACATGAAGGTTTGCCGCAAAAATTGCGTCATATCTCATTTGAAAGAACATTGAATTCTGAGTAAGAATGCGCCAGTTAAAAATTTTAAAACATCGGCGTGGGGTTCTGGGAAGGTCCGACAGTGGGTGATTTTATAGGTTCCGAGACGCAGTTCATACCTAATTATCTCAGAAATGACAAAAGCGACAAGCATGACGCTTTAGAACATCGACTAGAGACCACAAGGAATAAAACGGTTCACTTAAAAAAAATTCAAAATGCTGCATTACTCTACTGTACTTGTTCTAAAAGGGCGAAAATCCGTCATATGGAAATCGAAGTCTAAACTCAAAACTAATATGTGCATCAGATTCCTCGTAGTCAATTCTACCTAAAAATGTAATTTTTCATTTTCCACGTCGCTCCTGTAAACCACCTTTCACACGCATTACGTCACTTATTTAATTTTTGATGGCCCCCAAGTATTTTTAACTATGTTTTCCCCATTTTTGTTGATACCAATGTACATTTTCGGACTCTACACCACTTGAAACATATGAATCGACTGAGATCCCAATACTTTATCTCCTGTTTCTGAGATAGAGGTCTCTGAAATCCCGGTTTCCCAGAAAACCCACTAACTTCAAAGTACATCAAAAATTCTCTTTAAACATACCATTAGACAGAGCGTTCATTTCTCTACAAAATTACATATTTTCCATGCTTTTGAGTAAAAGAATGATCGAGTTGGAGCCAATACAGAATTGTTGTACAACAATATCACCGAAATCATGTGTATGAGCTCTTTTCGAGTTTTTGATGGGATTTTATTTGGCTAAGCAATGTAAACGTGGAAGATATATCATTTTGCAGAAAAATGAACGCTCTGTCTAATGGTATGTTGAAAGAAATGTTTTGATGTACTTTGCAGTTAGGTTTTCTGGAAAAATCCGGGAATTTCAAAGACCAAAGAAAACATAGTTAAAAATACTTGGGGGCCATCAAAAATTAAATAAGTGACGTAATGCGTGTGAAAGGTGGTTTACAGGAGCGACGTGGAAAATGAAAAATTACATTTTTAGGTAGAATTGACTACGAGGAATCTGATGCACATATTAGTTTTGAGTTTAGACTTCGATTTCCATATGACGGATTTTCGCCCTTTTAGAACAAGTACAGTAGAGTAATGCAGCATTTTGAATTTTTTTTAAGTGAACCGTTTTATTCCTTGTGGTCTCTAGTCGATGTTCTAAAGCGTCATGCTTGTCGCTTTTGTCATTTCTGAGATAATTAGGTATGAACTGCGTCTCGGAACCTATAAAATCACCCACTGTCGGACCTTCCCAGAACCCCACGCCGATGTTTTAAAATTTTTAACTGGCGCATTCTTACTCAGAATTCAATGTTCTTTCAAATGAGATATGACGCAATTTTTGCGGCAAACCCTCATGTAAAGTGTGGAACAGTTCCGAAGGAATTACACTCTTGACGTAAGTGACTGCCTGTCTAATGTCTCCTATTCAATCTCTCTATAGGAGACATTAGAAAAACAGTCACTTAAAAGAATGATTAACAATTAAGAATGCCTACAAAATAAGAAAGAAGGCATTTCATTTATTCCGCGTGCGAGATTAAACCTGCGGCATGAGGCGCTTTTTCCCAACCGTTCTCACACAGGGAAAAATTCATGTGTGCGTAGGCCACTTCTGCGCTAATCAATGCATTGATCTACTAGGAACTACATAGGAACCCATGCGAAGACACACATGGATCTGCTTCTCGAATTTCAATAAGTGTACTTTGATGAATGTAAACACGTAACGTCCAGGATTTCTACATGTGGAGGCGGCTGGACATCGGATCCCACGCACGATGGGCGCCTGGGAAACGAAAAATGTCCAAATGGGTAATTTAAAAAGGATTGTTCTAATCAGATGATTCACTCTGAATTGTTTCAATGTATCGATGGTTGTTAATTGACTGAACGAATTTGAGAATCAAACTGTAACGTCATCTAGAACATAAGAAGAAAACGAATTTCCAGAAATTAATAAAGTTCGTTCTTATTCGAAAAAAACTTTGCTTTCGTTTTTTAATAACTAAAAACATTCGCTTTCTCGTAAACTTTGCACTTAAACACATCTGAACTGAGAACATGCCAGGAGGGATATATCGTCTACCTGTGTACTTCAAATCACAGATGGGCGAGTATGAGTATGTACTCGAGTACAAATTTCATAGTACTCGTACACGGGACTTTTTAACGAGTATTCCAGAAAATACTCTACTACTTCGCAAAAAATTGGTGACCTTTCTTTTTAATACTTACGTACCAAAAGATCGATTTTTTCGGCAATTTTTCGGAATCACCGGCTTCTTTAGAAAAATTTTATACTCGAGTAGTACCCAAGTACTTGCAGAAAATACTCGTACTAGACCCCCAATACTTCTACTCGTACTCGTACGCAGAAATCCGTGTACTTCTTCATCTCTGCTTTGAAATATGGAAACCATTGGTGGGCAAACCGTAGCAACAAAAATTGCTGTAAAGTAACCCAAGACAAGAGCTTTTTAAAACTCAGCTTGTGTCTAAATTTTCAAACTTTTAATTTAACGTTCTATGTACATGAATTAGATTTCTTTCAATCAAAAATACGCTCCCAGTTTGTGACAGTCTGATCTACAACGGACTTCAACATAGATCGTGATCATCCCTCAAATTTCGATCCTTCTTTATTTGCAGTGCTAACCGCTTATAATAATGATACATTTTCCGGCTATTCAGAGGCGAATTGTTTTATATTAAAAAAATCAAGCTTTTTTACAGAACTGATATGTTTTTTCACACAAAATTCAATTAATCACTGATACCGCATGCAAAAAATATGTAGCACTACTTAAAAACACGCGTTTTGCTTTCGCTGATCGATTTACGTTCTTGATTCATTGAAACATTTTTGCGGAATTCCATGTCGGCTATCACATGAAAATTTATTTGGATAACCGTCATTTTCATTTTTTTATGTTCTCAGTTTGTTGGTACAAAATCAAATCTTTTGTCAATACGCGTGATTTCGTTAGCCAGCAATAAATCATATTCCGAAAAATGAATCGCCCTCATAATAAGAAAAAAATCAAATTTTCGAACACACGAAACCGAATTAACCACTAATACTGTCTGTCTTTTCATACAAAAAACGGACACAACGTTTGAGCGTTTTTTTTTAAACTATCTTTATTGCAAAAATTTATTATTTATAGTTATTAGATTCAACTTTTATTCAGAGTTTCTCACAGACTTAATGGACGATAGTGTGCCATTTTTTAACAAAACAGTTATTCTTACATTACTAAATACCCTGCATCAACCGGTAATACAGTACCGGTAATAAATTTGGCTTCATCACTAGCCAAAAAAGCGACGACTGCTGCAATATCTTCTGGTTCCGGTAAATACCCCGGTATCACTGATAAATTTTCCAGTCGTTCTTTAACCAAAGTAGAATCTTTTGATTCACTAATATATTTGGAAAGCAATGGCGTCCGAACAGCGGTTGGCGCAATTGCATTTACTCTGATTTTATATTTACCATAATGACGGGCTGCTTCTTTTGTTAAATGAATTAGTGCTGCCTTTGAACAATTGTATCCAGCATTATTACTTTCCGGAAAAATACCGGCAATGGATGATGTATTGATAATAACACCGCCATCCAAATTCTGTTTAATCATTTGTTCCAAACCATATTTCATTACATAAAATGCTCCATTTAAATTAACATCCATCTGTTGATGCCAACTATCCAATGGGCATTTATGAATTGGTATTGATGGATGAAAGATACCAGCATTATTAATGATTATGTCGAGTTGTGATTTCTGAGAAGTAACTGCTTTTCGAACGGATTCGGGATTTGTAACATCGGTTTTAATGAATAACCTTTGATCCGATGCCCATGGTTTGATGGGTTCTTGTAAATCGGCAATAATCACACGTGCACCTTCAGATGAGAGCAGCCTGGCAATTGCCTGACCAATGCCAGATGAACCACCAGTAATGAATGCTGTTTTACCAATAAATCTTGAGGTCATGTTGTGACTTTTTTGTGTGAATAGTGCACAATAATGTTCTGTTTGTGTCCTGTGTGGTATAGTACAAGAAAGATAAGAACGTATACAGATTTATTTGGTTGAGAAGGGAAATGGTGAGAACGATAGAGAAAAGCAAAGCTTGATGGCCTTTTTCACACATATTGTTTTCTTATAAGGTAGATATGCTCCTTATTGTACTAACTATAATTAGCTTTCGTACGCGTGCAAGAACCATATCTGTTTTCCTCTGTTCTACAAATACACATCAGAGGCTGTTAGTTCTCCGATGCTGAAACGACTTGTAATCACGAGAAATGAGTTCAGTCCTACGCCTCTGTGAATAAGCCGAGACCAGCGTCTAGTGGATTCTGGAGAAGCTAAACAAAATCTGCGGCGAGAGAGAAATCACCAACCTGTGTCAATGGATACTTGTGAAGGCGATATTGTATCTCTTTAATATCTATTTAATCTAAGCAGAATGAAAATAACAATGAAACAGTTTAATATATATAAAAAGTGAAAAAAGAGTAAAACAAAATCTTTACAGACTAATTTATAAATAGAAAAGAAAGAAGATCAGTAGTATCCGTCAGTTTGACCAAAGAAAAAAGGAATAAAAAGTGCATATGAATATATGTACATGCGTTAACTGAAAACAAACTATATGAAATAACAAACAGAGAGAAAACATTATATTACATCATACATAACAACTTATAGACTAGTAGCACTTGGTCTAACTGCTAGGACATAACACGTCCAGCTCTCAAAAAAGACTACTACACCGTCTTAAACAGTCCAGCGACTAATGTTCTTCAGTTTTGATGCCCCATGTTGTTAATTAAATGCTAATACTTGCTGCTGATAATGCTGTACTTGTTATTGATATAATTGAAGACACGCTAATAGCCATTGAAATGAAGATAAAAATAAAAACAAATATAAGTATATAAACCTAAATAGAGAGATAAAATAAAGGCGAGGATGAAGAACAAACATTCAGGAGACCTGACTCAGATCGTAGCCTCTCGGAGAGGTAGGATCCAGATTCCCAGTGTGAAGCGAATGCGTTCCCTTTTACTTTAAGGACGAAATGGTTCAAAATAACTAATGCCCAATTTATTTTTAAATTGTTGTAAATCTTCTATAGATGTAAAGTCAATGATAAGGTGCCCGATAATGGCGATAGATATATGTGTGAATTGAATAAAGTTCCAAATCAGATGTTCTCCAATATGTGATAATGTATAGTGAGAATCCACGTTGAGTTCAATATAATGATTATATCGTTTAGCATTTTTTTCTTTCCATTTTCTGTCTGTTTTTTTATCGCTTTAATTGCAATGAGCGTGGTCCATGTTTTCTCTTTTGCTCATTGAGTTCTTGTTCTTGGTCTTGATAACTTTCTGTTTCGTCGTCATTTTGTGCAAGAGTGTTGTCGGAATAAACTAATGATTTTTGTGGTGGATCAGTGCGAGCAACAAACGTGACAATTCGTGGTGCTATTTGCGATGATGCATTGTGAAGCAATTCACACTCAGTTTGTAGAGGAGAAGGTGATCGAATGATCTTTGGTGATGCTGGAGATAAAACTTCTTGTGGAAAATGACGTTGTGGTTGTGATGGTGGAGAAGGACACGGGTCAGAGGCTGGTTCCGTGTGCTTGAAGAGACGACTAACAGCATGACAGTCTATTAATGCATATTGACCAAGTTTCTTCTTAAGATGCACGTAATGCAAACTTAAAGTGGAATTTTTTTTTGACATTATTACACATATTCAGATCCAGCTTAACGAGCTGATTACGAATAACACCTTCCGAGCCTCCAAAAGCCATTTCTTCATGGAGAAAAACTCAAATTACTGAGAGAACCTAAAAAATACCCCAAATCGTCCTCTTTAATGAAATTGACTTTTTGAGCTTGTATTGCAAGATGGAAGATTCGAACTATATTTTTCTGAATCAGCAGTGAAAACTGATTTAGAAAAGGTTTTCAATTCATTTCAGAGATAAACAGTCGTCCGCTATGGACGTCCGAACAAACGGCTGCCAACTGAGTATGCCTCATTTTGTAAACCTATCTAGTTTTTTGGGTAAAGGGCTATATCGATGATTCGCACACCATCAGATTGGCCAACACACCAACTGTAAAAGTACGTAGAGCTTTTTTCAAAATTCGTTTTCCTTGCTAAGAAAAACGGCTTTTGCCGAAAACATGCTATGATAGCCTAAGATATCTTCTTCAAAACGAGAGTCGAGCAGACCTTGCTTTTTCACGGTTCGGGTGTTGTGTCGGATTTCTTGTGAGTCACAGGACTGGCACCCGATGACTATTGGTAGCCTTGAAAACGGATGGACTACAGGTAATAGATCATGCTGAGCGATGTAGCAATATTAGTTTTTAGAAAAAGTTCTAAAAGTCCACCAAAAAGTGAGTTAATTTGGGTTTTCAAGCTGTCAACCATTAAAAAGTTCACTTTTCACTCAATAAAGATCGGAACGAGTTCAGACTTTCAGGATATGGTCGATTTTCTCCGCTAAACGTGATTCGTCTTCGACGTCTTCTTCATTATCCGAACTTCCCAGACCCCTTTCCCTTCGAAAAGGCGGAGTCCTACCAAACATGAAGCGATAATAACAGAATTAATTAAACGAACAGGAAGTCGTATCTGTTCACATTATGCTGCACCAGCTATTTTCGTTGAAAAGAAAGTCAAAAAATACCGTCTTGTAGTCGCTTATAGACAACTTAACTCAGTTACAATCAAAGATCCATTTCCACTCCCTGGCATGGAAAATACACTTCAAGAACTGTGTTAAGGTTATCGTTATTTTTCAAAACTCGATTTAAAATCTGGTTTCTTCCCGTTTTCCATTGACGAAAAAGACAGACACAAGATTGCTGTGACAACTCCTTCGGCGTTTTCGAATTTACAGTTCTTCCTCAAGGTCTTAAAAATACATTTCCGTCGTTAAAGAGAATCATGAGTCGCATCCTTGAACCATGTCATCCATATTGCATTGTTTATATTGATGATATAATTATCTTTTGAGAAACCTTCGAAGAACATCTTGTCCACCTTCAAAACGTTACCTGTCTTCTTGAACAAAATAATTTACAATTGTCTCCAGATAAATGCGATATTTGTAAAGAAGAAATCGATTATCTTGGAGATTGTATTACATACATGAAGGAATAACACCTCTTCCAGATAAAATCAAAGCCCAATCTGCGTGAACCAAAGACTTTATCCCAAGCTAATCATTTTATCGGAGCCGTCAGTTGGTATCGAAAATTTATACCCAAATTTGCTATCGTTGCTACTCCCATTGATGGCGTTACAAATATAAGAAAACTCAATCGTCATAAGTTTAAGTGGAAATGTGAACAATCATCGTCGTTTCGTGAAAGCAAAAAACTTCTTACTGAAGGCCCGTTGACGTACATGATTGATTGCACGGAAATTTGACACGGGATATGCAATTATCGTTGACGAAGATAGATTTAACCCCGCGTTAGAAAACGAGATAAATTAAATATCGATAAATACTGCTAAATACCGTTTTCTAATCAAAAACCATCGGAGCAGTTCCCACCTCTTTTATTTAGTGGGAAGCAAATAATGGTAGAAAACAATATAAAATTGCTAGGAGTTTATCATTCATCAGATCTCACATGGAAATTTCATCTTGATAGTACAGCTAGGAGGTGCTGCAAATTTAGGCTCTATGAATAGAATATTCAGATCTGCTCCTACTTTTATTCGACTACATATTTATAAAACCTGTATTTTGCCAGTAATGGATTATTGTTGTGTAGTATTTGACGATGATTTCAAAACACATCTCGATTTACTAACATCAACTCATAAACTCGCTGCCCGTATGATATCAAATGACTATAGTTCCTCTTTGATCACGAACTTAAAACTACCAGATCTTGCCTAAAGTAGAAAATTTTCCAGGTTAACCTTCTTTCACAAAACTATTACAGGACGTAGTACACTTTCGTGCTTTTCGGTACTACAGCTTCTTATCACTAGAACTTCTTTACCAGCCGCTAATCGATGTCTTTGGCAGGTTCATTTGTTAAAACGTAAAACTACTACTGTCCATACTAAAATACAGTGCGGGGTGCCACTTTTTGAATAACTTTTGATAGGAATGAGATAGAGACGTGCGATTTTCGCTGTTCAATAGCCAAAACTTGAGCAGCACTTTTCACAAGCGGAAGCAATTTTTGAAAGAATTTCAAAGATCGGGTTTCCAGAGGATCTTTGAAAAACTAGCTCCGTTCTCAGAAAACTAGCATACAATGTTAGTAATTTTTTTGCATGCGTAGATAGTCCGGACGTTACTCTACAAAATTATGCAAGTCCCGGCTCTCTAGCTATCGTCGTTCGGGTAGGGCTCGCTTTCCCCGAGCACCTGTCTATCTCCGAGCAGACATCACTAGGAATCTCAAAATGCCATGGACTATAGGTAATCGACTACGCTGAGCATAGTGGCAACATTTGTTTTTGTGTGGAAATGAATATAACTTCGCCAGAGGCATTGTTGTGAAAAACCGGCTTTTCGCCTGTTACTAGCAAAAATTAAAATCCTTATATCTCGATCAAATCTCATGCTGACTCAAGGAAATTTTCAAGAAAGGCTTAAAATGCGTCATATGTTGTTGACCAGGTCAGAAAAGTGGTCCAGCAGAACACTGATGCTCTGACGTTTTTCAGAAGGTTTCTGGAAAACCTTAAGCCAATGCCCAGCTCACATTCACCTTTTTCGTCTTCGATTATGTTTTATGAGCTGTCCTGAGCCTTTCTTGAAAATTTCCTTGAGTCAGCATGAGATTTGATCGAGATATAAGGATTTTAATTTTTGCTAGTAACAGGCGAAAAACCGGTTTTTCACAACAATGCCTCTGGCGAAGTTATATTCATT